GCACCTCGCTCGATTCATCAACCACCTCAAAAAGGAGATGACGGTTTGTGAACGCCCTGGTGAATTTTAATCTCAAACGCAAAACACCACAAGTTTTATTATCAGTCAAAATGATCAAGTTTTTAACGGCATTGAAGCAGAAATTGAGAAAGTATAATTAGAGATAACTGTTGAATTGAAAAACTGAAATAAAATATATATTCTTGCAAATGCCTGAAACGTTAAAAAAGTTAGAAAAGGCACATTATTTTATAAAAGTGCAGTTTTTGGAATTTGGCAAATTAGGCAAAATTTAAATTAAAATACAAGTATTTATGGTCACATAAATTCTTTGGGTCTACCATTTTTTGTGTGGAGAGCTACTTAAGTGAATCTTGAATCTCGAATCTATCAACTTAAAAATTTAATAATAGATTTTAAAGGACAATCCACACTTGTCGCCAATCTCGGTTTTTGCCCCAAAACACATGTTTTCACCCAAAGTAAAGCCACTCCAGGTGCCAATCAAGCCTGTTATCGCCATTGATTTTCCTGACGAAAAACGTCCCTTTTTCGATAAGACGCGCGGTTTTGTCCGATTAGAGTTTTTGCGCAACGCAGTGTCGAGTTACCATTCAAAGGTGTCGCCAATCGCATTATTTCAAACTACCGAACGGCACCCATGTCATTAATTAAAAAACAACTTTCTTTCTTCTGTCGGCGGCAGGCGCATAAAATCAAAACACGAAAAACGGCTTCCACCTCGGGCTGTGTTAATTGAGTTGCTCTGGCAACAAATCAAACCAAGACCCGTGACGAGAGAGGCGTCGCTCTGATTTTGCTTTGACCGCAGAAGCCTCAAATTCGAACGCGTCAATATTTTCTGATGTCAAAAATTGCATGTTTTGCCCACGGAAAATCCGATCTTCCCGCGAGGTCGTAAAATTATGCTTGTGGGCAAGTCAAATTGTTATTGCAGCACCTAAACTTATTTCATGCAAATTTATACGGTGTGATGAATATTAAAACTTCTTTATTATTTCATCAAACTGCACGGCGATATAAGTAATAATCATCAATTTTGGTCCCGCGCCAGGGTTTGCAAATTCAGCGTCGCTTAATTAATAAATATAAAATACGCAAGAGGCCAACTTTCTATCTCAAAGATTTTACGATGCGGTAATTTTTGCAAGGCGCTCCTGCTTTTTATGGCGTTCGTAAATAAACTCGAGGGGAGGAAATTTGCATTTTCGCGGCGCCGGAGAAGGCGGATAATTTTGTTTATGAACAAATGTCTGGTAAAATGTATCTAACTTCACTGTTTAGCACATTTCGGCACGACATGCTGAAGAAAAAATGTTAAAAATTTATACTTTACATATTTAATAATAATAAAAATAAATATTTAATATTGATGATTATATTATATTTATGTTTTATTTTTAATACTTATTGTTATTAAAATTGTTTTTTAGTAAAATTATTATATAGAAATTATAATCATTTGACAAAAATGATTAATTAGAATATCTGACATTTTTATTGTAAATTTATTTATTTTAAATGCACGTTTCAATAGACTTAAGATTATGCAATGCTAAAATATAGAAATCTATTACTGGCAGCTCTGTTGTTCATAATGATTGTTATAAGACATAAATGAGTATATGGAAAGAAATTTCACGTAAATTACAATATCAAATGATTTACCTTGCAAATAGAGAATAAAATATGAGAGAAATAGAAATGAAATATTTAATATATCAAGTTAAAAACAAAGGAAGCTGAAAAGAATCATATTTTTGTTATTTAGACTTCCAGTAATCCTCAATAATTAAACTGCACTGATACCATGCAAGAAGCTGATTTTGAACAACAAAATTTTCACCGTCTCAATTTCTACTTTTGTCACCGCTACCAATATCGAGTTGGTGAGTGTAGAAAGTTGTCCCGACGCGTTTTTCGCACGTGGGTGTCAACTCGGCGAAAAAATAACGCCAACTTACTGCCTTTATTTTTCGTTCTCCTCGAAATGGGCGCGGTGTGACATTTTAATAATCAGCCAGTGCAGCACCTACGTGTCGTCGACAAAAAAATATTTAAAGCGACTTTTGCGGAGACACGCAAATCGGCTGTTCTTTTTTTTCAATCACGTCGAACGTGATTTCATTTTATATTCGACATGACGGGCGCTGTCATAATTGCGACCGACGAAGCTGCTCATTGAATGCGGCCGGTTCGAATTAAAATCAGCGAGCAAAGAGATTGGGTTACAAAGTACACAAACTTCTCTCGGCCGACGCAGTTTTGTTTGCACGCAATTAGCGTCGGGCGGCCCCTTTGGAGAGCCCAATTAGAGCTCGGTGGCCTCTCTTGCTCTGCAAATTAAATCTAGCGAAAAATTGAAAAATTCCTTAGTTAGGAAGACGAGACCGTCTGCAAATCGTATACACGGAGAGGAACGAAAATTTCCTTTTTACTCGGAATTGAGAGAAAGAAAGAAGATCATCTCACAATCAGACGGAGAACTTGGTGGTTTTAAGTCTAAATAAGAGGCGCATTCTCATGCAGTCGTGACTCAAGAGCTGAGCCGTGACACCGAGAATCTCAAGAAGGAAAAATAATGCAGATTTCTGCGCGGCCATTTTTCATGCCGAGAGACGATCTCAGTCAGGTGATTGCACGTTGCGTTCTTGCAACTCCCACTAAATGAGACCATCATTTTTTTTTGTAATTAAAGAAATTATTTATTTTCTATTTGCACCAGCTATTTATGTAATTGATCTTATCATTCTACAAATAGGCAGAAAAAAATTTAAATTAAAATAATAAAAATAATTTTTTATAATAGTTAATTTTTTTGATGTGCAGAAACAATAGATCTGCAAAGCAAATACAATTTTAACTTTTAACTATTTCTTTCAACTCTGAGAAATGAGATGCAATGCTCAAAGATAAATGATTTTAAATGAAATTTTCATTGTCTTTGTGAAATAGAGCTGAAATTATGAATTCATCGGCCGCAAACAGCCAGACAGAGAGCTCATTAAATTGTCATCGCGTTGGAGGAAAAGTAAATTGGCCTCTCGAAGAAAATGCAGCAAATTGAAACGTTCCGTGCGCGAGTTAAGGTCGCACGTGCCGAAATGCAGTCGGTTGGGCTGCAAAGTGGTGCATCCCACTTGATACTATCAAGAAACACGCGAAACAAGAAAAAAAAGCATGAAACGTTTTCATTGCGATGAGAAGTAAAGTGAGCAATTAGCATACGATTTTCCGCTTCACGCTTTCGAAAAGCAAATAATATCGTTGGATGGAAATCCGATTTCCTATTTGCATGCTACGAGTTTCGCCGTTTATGAGAGAAATGTTAATGTCCTATTGAGTGGTGTGCGCGGCCCACGCCGAAGCACAAAAGTGCAACTTTGGTACCGCGGCCCACACAGCGAGCGACGACTGCCGTTCGAGTGTTTCTTGAGATTTTTTATTCAAATGCTGCCGCAGAGAAAGAAGAATAAGAAATGCGTGTTCTGTTCAAAAGAAAGAAAGCGTTAAATGGAAATGAGCTGCGGCCGAGAAAAGATATATTGCTGTACTAAATTTAACGTCTGCCACATTGTCTTTTAGCTTCTGATTTTTTTCGTACACATTTTTTCCATTAAATTTATCAGAGTCAATTTTTTAAAAGCTTTCTTTACTGTGCCCGGTGGGCGAGGTGTGTCTGAATGTGCGAATTTTAATTAATTATTCTTTATTTTCGGTGCCAAGATGGGCCGAGATATCAATCTGGACATAAATCCTCATGAATGAATAAATAAGGCCGATTGGAAAGCTCTTTTTATAATTCATACCGGGTGCCGACCGACGAGCCATAAAATCGCCAGTTTTTTGCACTTGGTTGTATGCAGAGAAGCAGACAGTCGGTGCAGTTGTGTGTTTGTTACGCGATACGGCCAGTTAATCCGGCAGTAGCGATGTCGGCCGGCGGTCGCGACGACTGATGATTCTGCACTCGGGAATGCACCAAACGCCAAGGGAGCTTGTACAGTCATACTTGAATCGTAATCGCACTGCGGCAAATTTATCTCCAAGCAGTTTGAATTTGACTTTTGAGAAAATAAATTTCTTGAAAGTGAATTAAACATATTTTTAAAATAATAAGTTACAATTTTTTTTTTGCTAAATAAGCAGATTATAAACAAAAATGGAGCATTTTTTTTTAAAGCAAATAATGTAATGGAAATTCACTGAGATTCCATTTGAACCATTTTATCCAACTTTCATTTTTTAAGTTCATCCAGATCATAAGGAAATTATGCTGAATTTTTTAAATCACACATTTTATTTGGAAGATAATAGAATAATTTTGCAAAAAATAAAACTTAAGAGAAATTGTGAAAATTTCATTCCTAGAAATTTGAAGTCAATTTCATTTGATATAAGAAAATATTTACCCAACTCTCAATTTTTAAGTTCTAGATCATTAGAAAGTTTGGCTCACACTTTTATAATTAGCACCATTCAAGAGGACAAAAAATTGCCATCAGCTGGCCTTAATTAAAATTGCAATTACTTGAACTCACCGAGCTTTTGAACCACTTCCTGCTGATTAATCCCACAGTACTTTATTTTCTTCTACATAATAATTGTAAAAAAATTTAAGCCATTATGCAGCACACCAAGAAGGCGGTGCCGCCTCTTTCCTTTAAAATACATTACGGACGCTCAATGCAAAAAACAGAGCCTGATGTGAGCAGCAATTATACAATCGGTCAATTTCACGCCTCGTAAATTTTAATCGTGCATCCGAAATTCGCCCAACACGAAGATAAAAATGAATTTGCGCTCTACAAAGAGAGCAAAAGGACGTCTTGTGCAGTCTTTTGCGTAAAAAACCTGCTGTCTTTGAAAAAGTCGGACGTGATTTGAGGACAAATTTTGAACAAACAATGACGCCGAAGTAAAAAAGACTAGTATAAATTGACGGTCGTAGTGCGAGAGAAGATTTTGTTTCCACATACCTTTTTCAAGTGCTTGTTCACCCATTTGGTGAAGGTCTTCTTCTGTATGGCATCACGTTCATCTGCAACACAGAGGCGAGGGGAAAATTAATTTTCGTCCGAGCACAAAAACGCGTTACGGCCATAATGGATCGAGGATGAAACGAGAATAAAAAGAGAAACGAGAAAACGTGGAGTTAGTTTGTGAAGAGATCGTGACATTTGGTTCAGAAAACTTTTATATAAAGGGAACAATACCACAAGCTTCAAAAGCTCAAAGAAAAGGTGGGAATTGTAGAATAAATTTTTCAAAATTTTGTCACTCTTATAAAATATAAAATTTTTGTTTATTGCAGCGGTTTTCTTTCTTCACGAGTCACGAACTCTTGCTCTAATGAAAGCACTCATTACACAAATCGTGTTATAGGTTATTGCGCAAGAAGGGAAGGTAGCAATTTGTGAGTAATACATTGAGAACTGACCACGGCGAGATCGTCAATTACCTCGACACAAAAACTCGGGACAGTCATTTCAAATTCAAATTCATTCATGATACGCACAAGGCAGATGTAATTACTTGTTGCACCGAACAACCGTTAATAGTTATTGACTGCAGTTTAATTTAATTACATAAAACCTTCAGCAACATGATGATTTTTTCTTCTATTTCCCTTTGCTTGGGAGAATGAAAGCGAGTGTGCTTTGTTCGGCTCATAAATATTCATGTATATAATCACGGCTTAGCAATTAACTCGCGCGGACTGGATAAATCACTCGCGGCTTTTCAACGCTGCCCAAAAGCGATTATGTTCCACAGTTTTTATGAAACTCCGCAAGGCGAATCGCGAAATGAATTATGAATTCGCGCGGCCCGGTTTGCATCAAGGTCTCCCACCGGCGTCTATTGTTGGTTTTAGCAGTTCTTTCTTTCTTGTAACAGTAAACGCGCTGCTCAGAATACCACCCGAATGTGGACCAACCGACGCGTGGAAGTGAGAAAAATAAAATAATAATATACACAACGCCGGGAGTTCTTGAATTATTTTCATGACACATCTGATTTAATTCAAGAATGTGCTAAAAATAAAAACTTTTATTCAAATTTGGAAATAATTTTTTAAAGATGCAGATTTTTTTTGTCCCACTTTCCTCGCACTCTGGCGATCCCCAGCATTTGATTAGGCGATGACGACAGGAGGAAAATCGCCGCCATCCGGCCCTTTCAAGTGGCTGCAATTCGGCAACTTTGATGCCGGATCGAGATACACTTTGGCGCCCGGTAGCTGAGCGAAAGAGTTACGACTCCTCTTTTGCAGCGAGATGCAGCCGCAGCGATAGGGTGAGTGACCGCCCCCTTGACATAACTATATTTATTTATTGGCGCATTGCGAGCGAAGCGGAATGCGCTGCATAAAATAATGCTCAACTTCTCCGGAGATTATAAAATATGTACCGTGCAGAGAGCAATGTACACACAACAGGATCCTGAGCACTGCTCGCCCTCTGATCTGCGTCCCATTCATTTCAGAGTCGCTCACAAGGAAAACCTGCGGGCGGTTTTCCAATGGTAATTGAGCCAGGAATTCCACCGTGAATAATGGTCTCAGTCAGTGTTCAATTCAAACCTTCCTTAGCTTGTATTAAAATTCAGTGAACTCTATTTAATTTCAAGCTCAACGGATGTGAAAGAGGCTTTTTTTAAATCGATTAAATAAGTATTAATTAAAAATAACCATAATTTTGGCATTGGACCTGAGAGAAAAAAATTGTCATGAAATTAATTTGTAATTAATTTTTTCCAAAATAATTTAAGCAGACAGTTCAATGCCCTAGGATTTTTCTAAGAATTTTAACGCAACACTGATTTAGACTTACTCACAAGTGACGCAAAATGTTTATGCTTTACGTTGACAACCAAGTTAAAACGCTTCAAATTGGCGCTAATTTCAAGTTCGCACTTGTCACTCGACACAAGACAAGGCCACGGCGTCAGTCCTGCAAGGTGGATCAACGTTAAATTTCGCAAAATTTGCAAACCGCATTTCTCTATATATTTAAAAACAATGCAAATAATCGCCCCTCCAGCAGAGCATTTCGTGCAAACATCCTGTTTAGTCATTTAATTCGCCTCTCGTGATCCGTAAACGCCGCCGAGCATCGGTCTGATGGGCGTCTGCTTTGTGCCAGACCGATCAACAGGTGTTTCCCGAACTTGAGTAGAGAAAATTTATGCAATTCGTCTCTTCGATTCCGCGTTCGTCGCGAAAGGAAAGCGCCTTCGGAGGGACACAGAGCCAAATAGGTCGCGAGCGAATTAGAAGTTTGGCAAGCGACCTTGCAAAAAACGCACGCAGCTCAACCTTGATCAAACGAAACGCGACGGGCATCGCACGGCGCAGACAGACGCAGACGTGCGACGGAAACTGCTGATGTTTTGATAGCAGGGATGTGTGTTTGGGCAGCTGGGTGGAGAGGGTTTCTGCCTCGAAAGGAAGTTTGCCGATGAGTTCGTCTGGCAAAAAGCAGCAAACCAAGTTTTGCATCCGTTTGTTTTTAAATATAAATTAATTAATTTATTTACAATATAATTATTTTTAGGTTCATTATATGTTTATTTTTCTGTCTATTTATTTTTTTAATAAATTATTAATTTTTTTAAAATTCTAAAATTTATTTTATAAATATATTTTTTAATTTTTTTCAAAAGAAAATCAAGCATAACAGTTTAAAATCTTAGAAAATAAGAATTCATTTAATATATATGTATTTGTTCATACAAATTGTATTAAATATAGATTGCTTGAAATGCTTCAACTACGACTCCATTTTAATCTGTTTTTAAAATAACATTTTTAGTATGTATCAAAAATGAAAAAATTCTTAGCGTAAGTTGAGAAAAGCTGAATAGACTAATTTTTTTTTTTTTTTTTTAAATTAAGAACCAAGAACATGGAAAGCAAATTGCAATACATCAGTTTTAAAATTTCAAATCACTCAAATGGAATGATGATCGTGTTGCAGTGAGAATGGGTTAAGATTTCCGCTGCAGAGATAAGAAGAATTGGCAGCTTTCCACAATTGAGTCCGTCACTCGCAGTCAGTCGCGGTTTGTAAGAAAACTCGGTCCAACAGACTGAGATGCTCAGTCAGCTGGTTTTACAGCGGGCGCGGACCAAAATAAACGGCCGGCGAAACCAACACGCGGCGAGAAAGAGACGTAACGTCATTTGCCATTTTTATACACCGCGCGGTGCAGCGGCGGCGAGAACGGGTGTACAAAAGTACTTGCTTTTTGAACTTGCAAAAGCGGCGCCGCGTTTTAAATAAAAGACCTGAGGTGGAAATTTCCACTTGTCACCACATGTTGTGTCGAAAAGAAACTTGAAAGGTGCTGAAAAGAGGTGACTTTTGTTATTTGAACTTGATATTGTTCGCGGATGGTGATTGTGGCGCTTATTTCTGAATGCAGTGCAAAGGTCACGAGTTGAATGAAGTCATTTGGGCACTATCCAATTTTGCGAAAGGTTCAACTGCAGATTAGAATTTTCAAATTTAACTTCATCAGTAAAGCTTTTTGGATCCAAAATCAAATATAATAAAATAATAAATTTGTTTTACAATTAAATACAAATCTCAAAATTTTTAGATTGCTTTTGATCATAAATTATACCAGAAGGTAAAATGTTGAAATGGTCAATTATTTCCCAATTTCTGGGAGAAAGTGTTTGGATAATTTGAAGATAATTTGTTGACCTTTCAGGAAAAAGGGATCAAACTCAATAAATAAATCCAAAATTGTGAAAGAATTGCTCACCCCTGTCAGGCAAGTGGCAATTTTCAAATATAATGAACGGTGATGGCGGTCGATTTATTCGCTCTTCGAATTATCTCCGGAGTTGAAAGTCGTAACCCCGGGTGAGCCGTTCGTTTTCCTTCGAGATAGACAACCGGTCTATTAGCATAAATAATCAAAAGCAGTGGTGTATCAACTCGTTACGCTCGCCATTAATCCTTTGAACCTGCGGCTGCCTAGGAGCGAGCAAAGAACAAAAAGGTCGTGTACAATATTCGCCACCTAAATGGTTCATTAGGAGAGGTCAGCGGCGAGGGCGCGCCTGAAACAATCTCGTCCGCCTCCATCAATCACCAACAACCGTTAAAAGCAGTGCAACAATAAATAAATGGGCAGAGCCACACCTCGGCAAAGGACCGGTCGACCGATTTGCGGCAAAATTAATGGTCGTTTAGCGCCCCGCCGAGCCAATCGGGAAATTGAATCAGGCGCAAATTAATGAGACGCGAGGAGCTGGTCTGGATTGATGTCGACGTGACTGCGCAGATATTATTCAAAATTATCGTTAATTGGATGAAAGGAATCAGATTGATTAAATACATAACAACAGAAAAATAGAAACGGGAAATTTCATATTCTCAAGAAACCTTTCTATCAATTTCAATAATCGCTGGATAATCAAATTTTATTTAGCAAATGAGGGAAGGATTTTTCAGAATACAGCAAATTTTATTTATGTATTTTTTTCTTTTTGTATGTAATAATTTAAGCAAATAAACAGAATAAATAATTCAAATTAAATTCTTTACAAAGTTTTATGCTCATTCAACTTCTTGAAATAGAAATTAATGACAGCATAAGAACTATGCTTATTTTTTTAGCCATAAGCAACCCTAGTTAATTAAGTTCTGAGTAATGTGTTGAGAAAAAGGACGCAAGCCGCCTTCCGTTCCAGCGTCCAAAAGTGAGGCTAAATTTGGCTTCCTCCGAATGAGTCACTGGGTTCAGACACACAGAAAAAGAGAACAGGTCTACACCGGATTAACTTAAAAACAGAGACCACATATGGCGAGGAGGCTGTTTTTTGGCGCAGCCTCGAAACACGAGTAAGTTGCTCTCAAAGCGACCGCCGCGGCGGTGATTTACGGAATTGCCAGGAAAACGAAGACTCGAAGGACGCCAGGACCATTTTTGTTCTGGACAAAACAAGCGTAAAAAAATTATGGATTACACTTAAGGAATTTTATTAATACGCAGAACGAGTTGAAATTATTAAAAATATCATTAACT